ACTCGCACATTCTCTCAGCCTCTCCAACAACATAACTGTAATTTTGGATGCCATATTATCCTCTATAGCGACCTGGCTAAGGAAATAATACAAAAGAAAAGAAGAATGTCCAATTGCAGACAATCTCTGCCTAGCCTCACTGCTACAAAAGATACTTAAAACCTTAGAATTGTATAAATGACAAGGGAGCTCTCTGAGTATAATCTGCAAGCAAGATGCTGCTAGAATTTGCGCTCTTTCCTCCATGGCATAGTCAATCAGAACCAGTGCTTCGTCTATGTCGGAAACCAATGAAGCTAAATAACTATCACATGAAGATTTCAGCCCTTCACAACAGAATCTATTTGCAAAAGAGAGCATCTCTAGAACTATATATGGCGAACAAGTGTCTTCGAATCTTCCCATCCTACTAAACATATCCACAGCTTTCAGTCCAGCCACGGATATCCCGATTCGAGTGAAATCAATTCTTTCATTCTTAGCCTCCACAAAATTACCATACAACATGGTTTTCAAAGGAATTGAGAGAGAGGCAATTTTACCTCTGATACATGTGATCACTTCATTGCCAATGCAGAAACACACTTCTCCATCCTCTTCTGGGGCATGGAAGGAACTATTGTTGTTCGAGTTCCCAAGATCAGAGCTTTGATTCAGTGATTGATAACAGTTGCAGTGGCCGAAAATCGAATCGGGATCATACCCAGGAATCAAAGCAGACTTTGGGCATTCAAGAATCCGTCCAATACAATCAAGAACCGATTTTCCAACCATTTCATCTTCTCTCCTCTCATATCTCAACCAAGCCGATAAAACCACCTTCGAATGCACGTCAGCTGCGTGTTGACGGGCGGATTGGAGGCACCTCCGATTCAATTTTGGGTCATCCAGACTGCACAACAGCGCGTATTGCTCCAAATACACATCAGATTTACAAGAATCTGGGCTCTTTTTAATCCTGCGGTAGAGCTCAGCCATGGAATCAATAAAATCAACAGGTTTGAGAAACTGGTCGATGGAGGGCTCGAGAGAAACGCCCGTGGGAAGACCATAAGGAAGCAAAGACTCAGCCATTGGCAACGAGACAATCTCGGGAGAATAAGTGAGTATGGAATTGATGGTGGGTTGGGCCCGGTGGTGGTGGTGGCTCTTGGAGGCGGCGGCGGCGGCGCTACTGGAGGTTTCAGATGGGTTAAAGGCGTGGACTTGGTTAGTCTTACAACGGTCTTTGAGCTTGAAACTCCGCATAGTGTTGGAGAGGTGACGAAAACCGTACTGACGAAATAGATTCACAAATCTTGATTTGTCGGGCTGATGATTGGTTTCATCTTCAGGTCTTGGAGTAGACATGAAAGAAGGAATCTAAAACACTGTTGAAACCCAGTAATTATTAGCTCTGATAACAGATTGGAACTCTGTCTTATGAAGGGGATTTGAGCAGGGAGCGCGATGTTGATGGTGATGATGATGATGATGGGAGGCATAAAGAATCATCATCATCACCGGCTGAAAATCAACAATGGTGAATGCTTTTCAAAGTTTTCCCTTTGTCGATCTTTGAAGACTCTGAGAAGGAGAAGAAGGGTAAAAATGAAAGAAAATTACGGAGGAGTATGTGGCTTTGTTGTGGATCTAGAAATCTAATCTCATCCACTCCGTAATTTTTACTAGAGTCCACAGTAATAATAATGCCAAGCTGTCATATCCGCTGCCTCTATGATGATTATGATGGCTCCCACTTCCCATGCTCTGGTTTGGAGATAGTGGGTAACTTCACTTATTTCACTTTTGAACGTTATAGACTAAGAGGGTGTTTGAGAGTGATTAATTTATAGATAAAGTGATTTTTAGAAAAGCTGAAAGTAAAAGTATCTCATACCTGTTTCTTTGAAATGGTGTTTTATGTACAAAATAGTGGTAGTGAAAAACAGAAGTTGACATGCCAAACAGAGTAAAATCACTTCCACTCAAAGCAGAAGCTAAATTATTAATGTTTAGGTACCAATGTACCATGCCTTTTAAGTCCATGTGTTACGGTGGGACTTGATGGAGTTTGGATCTAAGCAATTGTTTGGTCGGGCAAGAATCCTTACTTTGTCAGATCTCTTCATCACTCCAAAGTTCTTTGCCAAGTTCTTCCTTTACTCGGTCATTTTCCTCCTTTGGCAAGTCGTTGTCATCACTCATCAAACTGTAATCGTCCTTTATCTAAGTCAACTCTTCGCTAAGCTTTTGTTTGTCCTGCATAACCTGCCCGACCGAGTATTCTGACTTATTCGGCTTCTCGAATGGCTTCTTCTCTAGGAAGGTGAAGAGCGTGCTATTTCTTACCGTTAGGTCTTTGATTTTACCCTTGGTGGTGTCCAACATCTATTGCAACCGAGTAATGTTACTAATTTTGGACATGTGAAGAGAAAATCAATAGAGCATTCAGTAAAATATATTAATCAAATGATCAATAAACATATGGCTAGAAGAAGAGGTAGACGAACTAAGATTCTAAAAAGACTTGGAATGAAGTGGTTAAGGGGGGGACCTCTGATGACAAAAGACACGGTTGAGAACTAGCATAGCAGTTAAGGAGGAAGGACAATGAGGACTTACATGGGAACGTAAGCTGAAGGCAAGATGACCAACCCGTTTGATTAACAAGAACTCAAGAAGAAGTTAAAAAAAGAATGAGGGGATGAAGGCCTTTTCAAAAAGAAGGTATGGCACCCCCTGAAGTGTCGCGCGCTAAGGGTGTGACGCGTAGAAAATCATCATTACCTAGAGTTTCTAGGTCCAAGACCAGATTTTGTGTTCATTGAAGTTCTCCAACACTCCGTAACATTAAATCTAGGAGGAAATTAAAATTTTGAATTTGAATTTTGAAATATTTAAAGCTTGAGGGGAAAATCGTTTTTAAACATACCTTCATCCTTGATGATCGATCATCACAAGCTTGGTAAGTGAGGGACCTATTTATGGATATAGCTCATATCCATGCTTGCTTAGGTAAGGTGATTGGACAAACCTTACCGGTCAAGAATAAATGATACTCAGAATGACATAAGAAGAATAAAAGAAAGTGACTGATTAAGTACTTCGACGATGGTGATCAGCCATTAGGTTTTGACCGAACATCTTCACCAACTCTATCCGCTTGAGAGAGCTTCATGAAATGAGGATTGAAACACCAACTCTATCCGCTTGAGAGAGCTTCATGAAATGAGGATTGAAACACCAACTCTATCCGCTTGAGAGAGCTTCATGAAATGAGGATTGCTCCTTCACGAAGTTACCTGGTCATTTCTCAAAGGCAAGGCCATTTGAACAATCTCAATTAGGTGGGGCCATCATCTGGAGACATAGTTGTGCAATGCGCGCACTAGTCTTAATCTCAGTTAGTGGCTGAGTCACCATGATTTACTTCTTTTCACAATCATATCGGACAGGAGGTGATGGGCGTCCGGGCCGAGCGATTTCATCTTTTGGAATAACTGAACTACTCAATTCTATAAATTCTATGTTTGAGAGTTCTTCCTTGGCTTCATTACTTAGTTGTATTTTAAACTTATATTTATCATTTAATTCTTTTCTCGTGAATTTACCCGGTTAAGTAAGACTTGTCCAGACTATGTTCTACCCGATTATATTTACATCATCATCATCTATATATTAGTATTATAATATCGACTATTGCAAATGATATATACCCGTAAAAGATCAGTTGGAATAGACGGGGAAACGATAGCATTCCATTAATCACCATCCATATTCCCCTTCTATTTAAGTAGTCATTTTCGAACATAAAGTAAAGAAAATTATTCCGTTTAATAATAATAATAATACTTAATTATATTAATGATAGTAATAATAATATCAATAATGACTTTTGTGGTGGCCTTTGTTTCCACAACGACAGGTCACTGCTACAACTGTATTAGTAATTTGTTTGTCATTTGTTTTTGGTTTTTTTGTTTTGGTTGGATACTAAAATGGCCACAGGTCACTCGTACATGTACCAATACAGGCCCCTCACCACTTGTCTTTTAATTTTTTTGTCACTCTCTCACGTTCCCAAAAATAAATAACGTTCCCACACATTTCCTAGTTTCATTCTGATTCTTTAGGACAAGGACTGCTCTAATGATATGTTTGGTATGGTAGAAACCAAAAAGAA